TAACATGGCTGTTATTGTGTCTTGGTTCTGCTCACTTCACTCAGCATCAGACCATATATGTCTTTCCAGGTTTTTCTGAAGTCAGCCTGTTCATCATTTCTTATAGCACAATAGTATTCCATTACATTCATATACTACAACTTGCTCAGCCATGCCCCAATTGATGGGCATCCTCTCAATTTCCAATTCTTTGACACCACAAAAAGAGCTGCTATGAATATTTTTGTACATGAGGGTCCTTTTCCCATCTGTTTGATCTCTTTGGGATATAGCCCTAGAAGTGCTATTGCTGGATCAAAGGGTATGCACATTTTTGTAGCCCTTTGGGCACAGTTCCAAATTGTTCTCCAAAATGGTTGGATCATTTCACAACTCCACCAACAATGCATTAGTGTTCCAATTTTCCCACATCTTCTCCAACATTTATCATTTTCCTGTTTTGTCATGTTGGCCAATCTGATAGGTGTGATGAAACAACCTCAGAGTTGTTTCGATTTGCATTTCTCTAATCAATAACGATTTAGAGCATTTTTTCATATGAGTATAGATGGCTTTAATTTCTTCATCTGAGAAATGTCTGTTCATATCCTTTGACCACTTATCAATTGGGGAGTGGCTTGTGTTCTTATAAATTTGCCTTAATTCTCTATATATTTTAGAAATGAAGCCTTTATCAGAGAGACTGGTTGTAAAATTCTTTCCCAATTTTCTACCTTCTTTAAACTTTTTTTTTTTTTGGTGAGGGGTTAAGTGACTTACCCAAAGTCACACAGTTAGTGAGCATTATGTATCTGAGACCGGATTTGAACTCAGGTCCTCCTGACTCCAGGGCCAGTGCTGTATCCACTACGCCACCTAGCTGCCCCAAAAGGGAGCTTTAATTAATAAACACTTGTTTTGATGAAGTTAGATGGATAATTTGTAATGAATTTAGAATTGTTCTATTGTATTAGGCCTAATAAGGGGCACCTAGGTGGTGCAGTGGATAGAACACTGGTCTTGGAATCAGGAAGACTCAATCTTCATGAGGTCAAATCCAATTTCAGACATTTACTAGCTATGTGACCTTGGGCAAGTCACTTAACCCTGTTTGCCTCAGTTGCTCATATGTAAAATGAGGTAGAGAAGGAAAGGGCAAACCACTCTAGTATCTTTGTCAAGAAAATTCCCAAAATGGAGTCATGAAAAGTCAGGCATAACCGAAATGACTGAACAACAAATTAGATCAAATGAAGAAGCAGCATGAAATAGTGGATCCAGAGCCAGTTTGAGCCCCAGAAAGACCTAGGTTCGAGTTCTGCCACTGGCACATCCTGGATGAGTGACCATCTTCAAGTTACTTTATTGCTCAGTGTCTTAGTAAACTTTCTTAAGGCAGAATAGTTGCTAATCTGAGTCTGGCATATGATCTTAATTTCAGTAAGAAAATGAAAGGTATAAGGAGGACAGACATAAATAAATTATGTTGACATTTTTATTTAAATGAAAGATGTCAAAAAGCTTCTCATTTAATATTTTATATGGAAATTTGTATAATTATCTTTCAAAATCTGTCTGTCTATACTTCCACCTATCTATCCATCTACCTCCTTCCAAACACATGTTGCTATAGAGATGAAGGCTATATTTTAGAGTGGCCTATATTTAGGTTATTAGGATTTTAAATTAATTGTTTTCTTTTGAAGAAATGCATAGTATGTATTTAGTTCAAAATAATTTTTTTCTTTTTAAAATTTTCATTTTTATTATCAAATTTAAACACTAAAAGAAGGGCATTTCTATATACCCAGCAAAAGATGAAAAGAAGACTGTATATAAAACTGAATCTTCATTTCATATTGCTTGTTTTTTTAAGTAATATGATAGTTTCACACATTGTTTTCAGAACTATTCAGCTTTGCTGCCTTCTGAACTTTTCATTTAAAAAAATGTTTCAATGGCCCTGGATTTTTTTTAAATTTACATCATTCTTTCTAATCTTCCTTTCTTCCCTACCTTCTCCCAATTAGAAATTGAGAAGAGAAGAAAGAATCCCATGTTAAAAAAAATCATGCCATGTCCAAAAATGTATGTCTTTTCATACTTTTAGTCTCTCTCCAGTCTCTGTCAAGAGATTGATAACATGCTTCATTACAGGTCCTCTGAAGATATGGTTGGTCATTGCTTTGAACAGAGTTCTTAGGTTTTTCAAAGTAATTTTTCTTCATAATGTTGTCCTTGTATAGATTCTTCTTCTGGCTCTGCCTACTTCACTTTGCATCAGTTCCTACTACCCAGATTCTCTAAAATCATCTGTTATTCCTTACAATGCAATTCTATTCTACTACATTTACATACCACAATTTGTTCAGAACTTTCCCACTGACGGGCACCTCCTAGATTGCTACTTCCTTGCTTTTCTTTTCTTTTTTCTTCCTCCCTTTAATCTCCCTTTCAGGGACAAAGGACTTGTTTTGCTTTCAGGCTATTTTCTTTCCCTGATATTATCCTTCTTCTTAACTCTTGCCCCCCATCCCCATCCCTTCCACCCCAAGGCCACCCACCCATCCCTGCTTGTTTCCTGTTGAGCTCTATGTATTTGTATAACAACCTGTCTGTGTGTTCAATTCTTTGCCCATTTCAGATAAAAGTGAAGTTCATCTAGTACCTGTTCTCCCTACCCCTTCCCCCCATGTTTATAGATTTTTCCTCATATATCTGAATTTTGAGAAATAATCAGTTTCACTCCCTTCTTTCTCCTTTCTACACTAGCATATTCTTCCTTTTGCCCTCTCTTCTCTTTCCCCTTTTAAGTCAGAATAGAACCAATGTACCCCCACTGATCCTTTGACAACAATCTACCCCCACAGATCCTCCTCCCCCATTAGAATATTAGCACTGCATTACCCCTCAACTCCTTTCAATTATTTAAATAAATTTACACAAGTTTTTCTGTGCTCTTATTTAACATTATCTACTGAGCTCTGGTCTTTTAATCAGAAATGCTTGAAAGTGCCTATCCCTTATTGACCTGTTATATCCCCTCAGCCTTCCTTATGTTAAATTCTGTTGTTAGGCATAGTATTTCAGTGTTTTATCTAGAAGCAATTTTTCCTCTTTGACTATATACTGTTAAAAGAGTTCCTATATTTATGTCCGTGTGATTTCTATCTTTTTCTTTGACTTTATAACGGTTAGTAGGCGGTAAAATAGTGTTCACTTTGCAGTGTTTTTGCTAGAGCACATCTGGCATATTAAGCATGCTTAAATATTTTATTTTGGTTAAGAATCATAAGTCTAGAGTTGGAAGGGAACATAACATAGCTCATTTTATAGATGTGGAAACTGAGGCCCAAAAAATTTAATGACATAACCAAGGTTACAAAAGTAGTTAGTGACAGAAAGGGGTTTGGAACTCAGGACTTAGTACTTCAAGTTCAGTGTTCTTTCCTCTGTAGTCAGCCTCGAGTCTTGTTAGATAGAGAGGTAGATAAATTATTTATTAATTATCTACTATGTGCCAGTCCCTATGCTAAGTGCTGGGGATACAAATATAAGCTGGCAAATTTCTTGCCCTCAAGGAATTTACATTCCACTAGGGGAAGACAACACACACAGGGGAGCTGGAAGGTGGGGAGTGCATGGTGTAGAGAGAGGGGAAGTGATTGGAGGCCTGAGCCTTGAAAAGACAGGGCAAGGGCATACCTATTTGCGTTGAGGGACCCAGGGATGAAGTTAATATCACTGGTGGGGTATGTTGGAGGAGGCTTTTTTTTTTAAATTAATTTATTTTGAATTATCAACATTCACTTCCATAAGCTTTTGAGTTTTAAATTTTTCTCTCCTTCTCTCTTCACCTCCCTCCCCAAGATGGTGATCAATCTGATATAGGCTCTACATACACATTCCTATTAAATGTATTTTCACATTAGTCGTGTTGTAAGTAAGAATTAGAACTAATAGGAGGAACCACCAGAAAGAGGAAACAAAACATAACAGAAGAAAAAAAAATAGCAAATAGTATGCTTTGATCTGCATTCAAACTCTGTAGTTCTTTCTTTGGATTTGGATTTCTTTGTTCTTCATAGTTCTTTCTTTGGAATGTGTTCATTTTCCATCATGAGGCCTTTGGAGATGTCTTAGATCCTTGTATTGCTGAGAAAGGTTAAGTTTATCAATATTAGTCATCGCAAAACGTGGCTGTTATTGTGTACAACATTCTCCTGGTTCTGCTCACTTCACTCAGCATCACACCACACAAGTTTTTCCAGGTTTTTCTGAAGTCAGCCTGTTCATCATTTCTTATAGCACAATAGTATTCCATTACATTCATATACCACAACTTGTTCAGCCATTCCCCAATTGATGGGCATCCTCTCAGTTTCCAATTCTTTGACACCACAAAAAGAGCTGCTATGAATATTTTTGTACATGAGGGTCCTTTTCCCATCTGTTTAATCTCTTTGGGATATAGCCCTAGAAGTGCTATTGCTGGATCAAAGGGTATGCACATTTTTTATAGCCCTTTGGGCATAGTTCCAAATTGCTGTCCAAAATGGATGGATCTTTTCACAACTGGAGGAGGCTTGTTTTAGAGCAGGCTGAGAATTTGTGTAAATTCTGGACTCTGGCAAAATGAAAAAAAATTGCTTTTCCACAAGGAATTTGAATTTTTGATCTGCTAAATGTGTATATAAGCCTCTTAGACATAGCCAACTTTTTTGTTGTTCAGCTGTTTCAGTCACATCCAACTTTTTGTGATGCCATTTGGGGTTTTCTTCACAAAGATACTGGAGTAGTTTTACAGCTAGTAAATGTCTAAGGTCAGATTTGAACTCAGAAAGATGAGTCTTCTTGACTTCAGGCCTGGCACTCTATTCACTGCACCACCATATGAATTTAATATACAGAATGTCTCTTATGTTGATAACATGCTGTACTGAGAAATATACATATTTGGGAAAAATATAATAACTAAAGAAAATGTATGTTGTTCCCCTTCCTCCCCCCCCCCACCTCAGTCCTTACAGGAGGACCTTTGCCTCAAGGACATGAATTTGAACTATATGAAGTCCGATTTCACTGGGGGAGAGAAAATCAGCGTGGTTCTGAACATACTGTTAACTTCAAAGCTTTCCCCATGGAGGTAAGAATGACATTCCATTCAACAAAGCACTTGTTACTACAAAATGTTAAGTAATTTACTGAAAAGAGTTTACTTTAAAAGAGTTTCTTAATCGGCCTTGTATTTTCCTCATTTATGTTAAAATAAAAAGTACTCTTATGAAATGTGAGCTTGGGAAAGAAAATGGCTCTTCACATTTACAGTAATGGGTTTTGAGTATGCTCAGTCTTGCATGAATAATTGGTCATAAAGTTAACCTGCAGCACTATTAACTTTTGTCTTAATATTATTAGTGTTCTAAAATTTCTGCTACTTCAGCAAATCCGGTGAATCACTTTGTTCTAACAAACTCTGAGTAAATGATGAGCTGAAAACAAATAGCTCCTAGAAATCTCCCCACAGTCATTAAAAGTCTATTTTAAATCTGTTTAAAATTAGTGGTCTTGATTTTAATCACCTTAAGCCATTAAATTGAGAAGATATTCTGTATTTGGTGGTTTTCAAGGAGCTGTCTTACGAATGGAGACAAGGCTTCACAGATATACCAGGAGCTCATTTACATTTTCCTTATGGAGCTACAGTGGATAGGAGTTTGAGATAGCTCATAGAAGTGTGTATGTGTGTGTGTGTGTTGCAAAGGATGAATGGATTTAGAGGTAGAGGATTTGAGGTGTTTCCAATCATCTTCTCCAAATTATAAGCTTGTGTCTGATTAAATATTAAATTACTTATGTCTGGCCTGTTATAGAATTTATTACTGGCAAGTACCAAAGTACATAATTTTATTAAAATGATATGTATTTTATCATTTAGAATAGAGTTAGACAGGCAATTCAAAAGATCACTTTAATTCCCATGCTTTTTTTAGAAGTCTTTTGGAAGCTTAAGACTTTTCTTCCTCTTAAAATAAAAAAAAAAGCACTATAAGTATGTCTAGGAGTCACAGGGACACAGGCCATACTGAACTCCTTAGATCTATGCTTGTTGGGCCTAAGCATTAGGAGATATTCAAATATGTAATGATATGACCTTTCTTCAAAAGATTGTTGTGGTGACTGAAAATATATGCTGAGAATTCTTTAAGCAGGGTTTGGATAAACTCACAGATACATATCAGATTCCAAAGCGAAATTTGAAATGTGTCCCTAATTTCCATACTTTCAAATTCAGTGCTTTTATTTATTTAGTTTTAACACTTTTATGTACTATTTTATTTTTAATAACAAGGACAATAATAAAGAGAGACATAAACTTTAATTGGGTGTTATATAATCTAAGTTCTGGCAGTATGATATAGTAGATAGTCTTGGACCTAGAGTCAGGAAGACCAGGATTCAAATCCTGCCTCTGACACTTAGAAGCTATATGGCTCTGGGTAAATCACTTAATGTCTCTGAGCCTCAGTTTGGGGGATTGGACCAGATGACTTCTGAGGTGCCTTCTAGGTCTAAATCTACAGTCCTGTGATTAATAGAAAGATAATGCCATATGAAGTGAGATGAGAAGGTCATCTGGTACTCAGTGACTTGTGGGAAAGTATTTTACTTTCCTTCTTTAATAGCTTTATATATTAGAGATGTCTTCATTGTTCTATTTTTCACAATAACCTGCTATATTATGTGCAGCAGTCTAGAAGGGTCTCAAAGCAACTAGAAATGTATTTTCAGCTACCACCATCTTTTGGAGGCAGGTCCTGTTAGACTTATCCTGATCATCTCCCAAGCATAGATCTTATAAGCTGATTACTTAGGGTGCTGCCATTCTGCTAACAACCCTTTTGAATATTTTTGGGGAGGGATGTTGACAACTAGGAGAAGGGTTTGAAAGAATTACACATATGGAGATAGAGATGGCAGGAAACCTTACAAAATAAAGAGGTCAGTAATGTGGGGACCATAGAATGAACAAATTGAACAGTAGAAATTCTATAATGTGATATATATCAGAAGCAGCCCATAGGCTGCTTGCAACCCACAACACTCCTGAGTGTGGCCTGATGTAATGTAATTGGGAAATATTTAACAAAATAAATAAAAATACAATGAAACATAGGTAGTATTAATAAATGGTTTTCTAAATGAATATGTGTTCCACAGGGATCCTTATGTATGATTTAGTGGCCTCTGTTTGTATAGCACTGATACATATTTGCTCTCTGGGGATCTTTACTAATTGTAGAGACATTTTCTCATGTGTCTTCTCACTGAATGGAATAAAATTAGTATTTATTAAGGGCCAACTGTGCTAGTCATTGTGCTTTACAAATATTATCTCATTTGATCTTCAAAATAACCCTCTGAGGTAGGTGCTATTATTCCCATATTACAGTTGTGGAAACTGAGGCAGATAGAAGTAAATTTACTTACATAGGATGATATAGCTAGTAAATGTCTGAGGCCAAGTTTGTACTCAGTCTTCCTCACTGAGTGTTCTATACACTACACCACTAGCTCCCCTCTAACCTTGGAGACTGTTAACCTCTGTATTCTAAGATGTGGAGTAAAATTGGGAGGAAATAGGCATGTATCAGCTTCTGGATGGAACAAATCTCTTTGACTTCACCTGTAACACTGAAAACAACTTTTTACAGCCTTGAAGAGACTTAATTAGATTATAAGATTCAACAGTCTGTGCTCACCACAGAATAGAATTTTTGCTCCAGATATTCAGATGGATTTAGTACTTTGCTGTTATTTTACATTTCTAGTCCAACGAACATAGTTAATATGGTCTGTTTTCTGTGAAAATTAAAGTCTGGTACTGAGGTTATCTTTCTGAGGAAATGTTTATATTATACATAATGGAATTACTGATCACCTTTTTCCAAAGCAGGTGATGCACAGTGTCTTCTTTTTCCTTTCAATACTTATTCATTACTAACTATTCACTGATCTTTCTATATTAAGGATCTAAGTGCTGAGGGTATGTGCAATTGGGACGAGAAATCTCTCAATTAGAAAAGTTTTCTGGAGTTAGTTTCAAATTGGAATTTTAAGAAAGAGAAGGGCATGGCATCATGGAAAGGACTTGCCACATGGAAGGAATAGTATCTGCAATGATACAGAAATGGTTATGGGTATAGGAAAGACCAGAGAGATCTTTTGCACCTCTGAGGTCTAGATTACCCTCATTAACTTCCTCTGGAAGTTGAACCGAGTTTGGCTTGAACTTTCTGGGATGATTGTAGTTCTTTTCCAGGCCTGATTTGCTCTCCAGGGATAGTCACAGAGCCTCAGGTTGTGACAAACATAGCAATGAAACAGTTATAGATGATGAAATTCAGCTTTGGGATAGCATGTTGATATTGTAAGATTATCACTAGGTATTATACAACTTATGAAACTATAACTTATTAGATTAAACTCTTATGGATAGCCAAACTCATTGTTCAGCATGGATCTTTTAAAATTATTGGTGTTCATTAACACAGTAGCATATCGTATAGTGGATCTGACTTCCTTATTCTACTCTGTAAGGCAGATGTGTTTTAAAGGTAACTTCTCCATTAGAGAGGCTCAGCCATATTATAGTCTAGACCCTTATCTATGTTTACACTGTATTCAGGGAGTTATTGTTATTTATATTCTAATAGGGATTGTTGATATAGTATGTCAGTGTTTGTGAACAGTCAGGTGTACTGGGTAAACAGAAAAGTTTATCAGAATTATTTAATGTTAGAGATCATCAAGGTTACCTGCTCATTTTACAGATTAGGAAACTGAGGCCCTTTGTGAAGTGAAACATCCTGTTTAATGGAAGAACAGGGACCACATCAAGTGTTGTGATCTAATTCCAGTCACTAAGTGACTTCAGGGCATTGTGCTTGCCAAAATAATATACTAGCTGCTAAATCCTAAATGTTTTCTTTCCTCCCTTTACTAGAACAGTGATATCTATCATTAAAATGATGCTGCAACAACAACCCCAAAAGAATGATCTGTTTCTTGTGACCTTCAACTCAAATATTCTTCTGACAAAATAGGGTTATTTTTATTCACTTGGTTCGCTACTGTGGGTAGATTCCTGGTGGAATTTGTGAGAAGGGTAGGAATAGCTATTTCAAGGGTGTTTGACCTGCTTAAAGAGCTCTCTTGTGGTTCCACTTCTATGGAACGCTTCCAAACCTAGAGCCCAATAGAATCCTAAGTAATTGTGAGAAAATGAATTTTGTGGAACAGAAAAATTAGATTTAGGTCATGAAAACATCAAACCATAGGATTTTAGAGAGGAAAGTAAGTACAAAGCATTGTGCTAGGTATTGGGCATATGAAGATTAAAAAACTAAATAGTTACCCTCAAGGAGGTTACGTTCTACTAGGGGGATTGGAAATATATGAAAGTGATGTGTTAAGTGATTTGGGAATGGGGAGAGCTTTAATAGTTGGGTATCTTAGGCAAAGTTTCATTTAAACAGGTGGTGCCAGGGTTCAGTCCTCCATACATTGGGTGATCAATCAATAAACAAACAAGAATTTTTAAAGTGCTTACAATGTGCTAAGCATTCTACCTTTAAGGAGTTTATATTCCAGTGGGGGAGAAAATCTGTATATAATTGGGGATATGTAAGATATTATACAAAATAGTGTTGGAAGGGAGGGCATTAGCCTTTGGAAAGAATAGTAGACGTTTTATGGAGAAAGTGGTTCTTGAGCTGAGTCTTGAAGGGAATTTGGGTCACAAAAGGTGGAAATGAAGAGGGAATGCATTCAGAAATCAGGGACAGACAGTACAAATGGACAGCTTTGGGAAAGTGAGTATTGAGTATCTTGTGTGTGGAATAAAGGGTAGGTAGCATGGCTGGATCTCAGAATGCATGGAGACATAATGTATGAAAAGATTGGAATAGTAGGAAGGGGTAGGTTGTGAAGAGTCTTAATTGACAGACAGAGGAGTTTATATTTACTCTTGGAGGTAATAAAGACCCATTAGAGTTTATTGAGTAGGGTGGTGATGTGGCCATAACCTGTGCTTTAGGAAAATTGCTTCGATTAGGGAGATAAAAATACATGACTATTGCAGTA